ATCGTTTCCATGGTAATTATATTCAAATTTGCTACCGATCTGTTATTCCTATTTCGATAATTCCACATAAATCCTCTTTTCTCTTGACCATTTACAAAAAATTTGCGTATAATTTAAATAATTTTTCCGTTCTCTCTAGAAAGGTATAAAAGCCGAACAATCGGTGAAGAAAGGCAGTCTCGCTTCAGTTCGCGAATTAGAAGTATCTCCTAAAGGCCTTATCCCGGGGCCGCACTGCCCCGGGATCCTGCAAGCCTCCATTTACACGTGAAGTCTTCGGCGAAGCCTTCTTAAAACTCGGGCCGCGCCACTCCGGAATCCTACAAGCCTCCATCTACCTCGGAAGTCGCTTCGAGTCTACTACAAGCGCGGGGGCCACACTACTCCGGGCATTACTACTACTTACTCCAGGCGCCGAGTGCACCTACCGCCGGCGCTACCTTTGGGCGCTGCAACTGCTGGCTCTAAGCGTTGCGCGCCCCTTCTCCAGGCGCTACGTGCGCCGGCTCCGGACGCTGCGTGTACTGGCTCCAGGCGCTGCGCGCCGTCGCTGCTAAGAAAACCTACCTCTACAAGCGCAAACGGCGTGTGCTGGCTTCAGGCGCTGCGTGCCGTCGCTGCTAAGAAACCTACTTCTACAAACGCAACGAGTGTCGCTTCGACTTTTAGGCCCCACTACAACACTATATTCCCCTATTCTCTCACCTTTATTTTTTTTTTTATAATCTAATTGTACTCTCACTTCATTCATCATCATCCTCATTCCATTTTTTTATAAAATTGTAAATACCTTTTATAAATTTAAATATATTGTTTTCTGGCTCTACTTTTGTTGTTTTGTTGTACTTAGGTTAGGTTCTATTTTTTTTTTATTGTCGCTGCACGACATTTGGCGCCCAACGTAAAAGTCCTCTTTCTCTCTTAATTCTTCACCTTTACTGCGCCTTGTCCATTCCCTTTTGATTTAATTGCTCTCCCTTTCGTTCTTAACTCATTATTCATCATTCATTTATTCATCCTTTTCATACTTTCCAAATTCTAAAACAACACTTCATCTAGTGTTTCAACTTATCTGGATTATATTTAGACCTACATTTAACACTTACATTCATCACTTTAATATTTTTATTGTAGATAACCTTCCAAATTCTAAAACAACACTTCATCTAGTGTTTCAACGTATCTGGCTTATATTTAGACCTACATTTCACACAACACTTACATTCATCACTTTAATATTTTTATTCTAGAACAAAACTTCATCTAGTTTTTCAACTTATCTAGATTATATTTAGACCTACATTTAACACTTCACTTACATTCATCACTTTAATATTTTTATTCTAGAACAAAACTTCATCTAGTTTTTCAACTTATATGGATTATATTTAGACCTACATTTCACACAACACTTACATTCATCACTCTAATATTTTTATTCTAGGTAACTTAAAGAGGTATAACTTTTCAATTAAATCTTTATTTCTTAAACTTAACTTTGAACTTTACACTTTATATAAAATTGTTTTTCAAAGCTGAAGCGAGACGATTCATAACTTTTCTAAGCATTTACTAACTGTTAATTTGTATATATGTATAAATATCACATTTAATTTGTATATATGTATAAATATCACCATCATTTTCACCTTGCTATTATTTCTTTTAATTTGTTTGTTTGTTTGGTAGGTTAATCTTCACTTTCTATTATTTCAGACACATCTCGCTAGTGATGTTGCTGATCTCTGGCTTTGAGCCCTACCGCTCTGGCCGTTCTTAATCTTTACTTAAGTCATAGCGACTAAAGCTTGCTTAAGATTGATTTCTTTATCTTTATCTTCACTTGGGAGCGGCTGATTACTCCCTTAATAATTTTTTTTTATCTTCACGCAGGAGCGGATGACAACTCCTTAAATAAACCTGAATGTCCTTTCGAAAACACACTTTTAAGAGTGGTGTTTCTTCGACTAATTTATTTTTTTTTTCCACGCAGGAGTGGATGACTACACCTTAAATAAGCCTTAATGTCGTTTCGAAAACACACTTTTAGAGTGGTAGTCATTGAATGTGAACTCCACCCTTACCTGAATGGCAGATGATGTATGTAAGAGATAGTATATCTGATTTTGCCTGGTGATGTCTGTTTCTGCAAAGCTGTGTTTTTATGGTTTATTTTAGAATGTATATATCAAAATTTTTGCTGAGTCAAAAATTTTCCAGGGTCGGGGGGAAAATGTAGTGTTATACTACTTACGTATCATTTTACATTATTTTAAATTCATTTTTCCATTCTGTTTCGATTTTCTGCATTCACCTCAAAACTGGATATTTTACATCACCTTTATTACCATAGGATCCTGTAACGATTTTAAACCATAAGAACACAATAACAAATCATTTCTACTTCGTATTTTCACATTATCAGCACTTTTAAATTGGTGTCAGTGGAGTCTACCTTTTTTCGATCTTTTAGCTAGTTTTCCGTAACTCTACAATCTTGGGCTTTGTGTGGGCAGTTGCGCTACCTTTTTTCCTATATCAATAATATCTCATTTTCCACTTAAATCTTATAGTTTTCTTATTATAAACCTAAAACAAAAATTTGACATGTTTTGTCTTTCTTATTTATATCGTTTCCATGGTAATTATATTCAAATTTGCTACCGATCTGTTATTCCTATTTCGATAATTCCACATAAATCCTCTTTTCTCTTGACCATTTACAAAAAATTTGCGTATAATTTAAATAATTTTTCCGTTCTCTCTAGAAAGGTATAAAAGCCGAACAATCGGTGAAGAAAGGCAGTCTCGCTTCAGTTCGCGAATTAGAAGTATCTCCTAAAGGCCTTATCCCGGGGCCGCACTGCCCCGGGATCCTGCAAGCCTCCATTTACACGTGAAGTCTTCGGCGAAGCCTTCTTAAAACTCGGGCCGCGCCACTCCGGAATCCTACAAGCCTCCATCTACCTCGGAAGTCGCTTCGAGTCTACTACAAGCGCGGGGGCCACACTACTCCGGGCATTACTACTACTTACTCCAGGCGCCGAGTGCACCTACCGCCGGCGCTACCTTTGGGCGCTGCAACTGCTGGCTCTAAGCGTTGCGCGCCCCTTCTCCAGGCGCTACGTGCGCCGGCTCCGGACGCTGCGTGTACTGGCTCCAGGCGCTGCGCGCCGTCGCTGCTAAGAAAACCTACCTCTACAAGCGCAAACGGCGTGTGCTGGCTTCAGGCGCTGCGTGCCGTCGCTGCTAAGAAACCTACTTCTACAAACGCAACGAGTGTCGCTTCGACTTTTAGGCCCCACTACAACACTATATTCCCCTATTCTCTCACCTTTTTTTTTTTTTTTTATAATCTAATTGTACTCTCACTTCATTCATCATCATCCTCATTCCATTTTTTTATAAAATTGTAAATACCTTTTATAAATTTAAATATATTGTTTTCTGGCTCTACTTTTGTTGTTTTGTTGTACTTAGGTTAGGTTCTATTTTTTTTTAATTGTCGCTTCACGACACCATGTCAACTTGCAATCCATGATGATGCCCAGATTCTTAACCGTTTCTGAAATGCTTAGTGGAATGCCATTAAATTGCAGAGTTGGCAGTGAAGAAAAGTCAAGTAATTTACGAGTAAACCTGGTGCCTATAATCATTGCTTGTGATTTTTTAGGGTTTATAACAAGTCCGTATGATCTAGACCACTCATCGATTTTATTTAGATCGTTATTTATATATACTTCTTTTCACTTGTTTACACCTAATTAAGTTTAGTTGACATAAAAAAAAATCAGTAATAAACGAAAGCATACTTGTTTTTAGTAGGTAACTACGTAATGATTTCTTATATTTACGCGAACACTACACATTTTTAAATAAAACTAATTTTACGGATTTTATCGCGTATATTAACTTATTTTTATATTCCCGACGTTTCAAATCCAAACCCAAGTATACCACTGCTAGACTTCAAGATACTGTAAGCTCATTCTGCGTAAATCGAACCAAAAAAAAAATTAATATTAAAAAACTGAAGGTAGCCGGGCTAACTATGACAGTAGGACGTCAAACAACTCAGTCCCCCGTGACCACGGGTGCTGGAAAGCACCCGAAACGTCGGGAATATAAAAATAAGTTAATATACGCGATAAAATCCGTAAAATTAGTTTTATTTAAAAAAAAGGTAACTAAGTGTTTTTCTCCGTGTTTTCTTTGAAATTGAGAGTATGTGACTTTTTTATGCAGAGATTACAAACCATTTGTACATTTTTTTGTTTTATAAAAAAATTATTTATATAAGTAGGTACAGTTAAATCACCCTGGAAAACATTGGTTTTTATTAAATTATAAACTACTCAAAACAAAATAGGGCCCACTCTAAGTTAATCTCGAATTTCGTCTAAAAAAAATGTTGGATAGTAAATAGTGACATTTCGAAGTATTGTTGACATGTTTATCTAACGTTATCAATGTTTCAAGTCAGGAATTCAATGGTGGGTAGACAAAAAAAGTGAAGTACTCCAAAAAACGTTTATTACTCAAATTCTCAGTCACTTGTACCCTCAGTCACATTCTAAATGTTAATCTATATTGAATACAAATTATTCTATTCTATTTATCGACTCTTGAAATGACCTGTAAGTGGAGTTACCACTTAGTCTATACATAGTATAAAACAAAGTCGCTTCCCGCCGTCTGTACGCTTAGATCTTTCTAACTACGCAACGGATTTTGATGCGGTTTTCATCAATAGACACAATGATTCAAGAGCAAAGTTTATATGTGAAATACATGCATATTATATATTATATAATTCTTCTGTCCGTGTGTATGTGACTGAACTTCTCCTAAATTGCTGGACCGATTTCGATGAAATTTCGTGTATGTGATTAAGTTAATTAGAGAACGGTTTAGATTCACAATTGCACCCGATAGGTGGCGGCATACATCAAACGTGCGAAGCCGCGACGGATCGCTAATTCTATTTTAAATGGAGTTACCTCGATCGGAGCCTGCCTCTGGATCTTGTCCACGAGTTCTTTGAACGTTGCCGAAGAATATGGTGCACGGCCGAATAGACATTCGTACATAATCACACCTGGAAGGAAGGTTATGTTGAGTTGACTAGGATACTGAATAGGTATTCAGGAAAGGTGTGCCTATGCCTAGATTTCTGGCTCATACAGCAGGTGTAAGAATATCCAGTACCCCATATTGCCCCGTGGGTGTCGTAAGAGGCGACAGAGGGAAACTGAATCAGGAGATGGGCAGTAGCGGCTTCCTGACTACAATTCGAAATAATTAAAACTGCGGTTGCCAACCCGCCCGCCAAGCGTGCCAACTATAATCTACCAGGAGCACATGACCCACTGAGAGGTGAAATTTTTAAATCAACAGTAACATTACAACTATGGCAAATATCCCCCCCCCCCCCCCCCCTATGAGGCAATCTATAGGGGAAGCCTATGTTCAGCAGTGAACTTTTACAGGTTGTAATGGATGGATGTGTAGAAGATAATCTACCAGGAGCATATGACCCACTGAGAGGTGAAATTATTAAATCAACAGTAACATTACAACTATTGCAAACATCCCCCCTATGAGGCAATCTATAGGGGAGGCCTATGTTCAGCAGTGAACTTTTATAGTTTGTAATGGATGGATGTATAGAATATAATCTACCAGGAGCACATGACCCACTGAGAGGTGAAATTATTAAATCAACAGTAACATTACAACTATTGCAAACATCCCCCCTATGAGGCAATCTATAGGGGAAGCCTATGTTCAGCACTGGACTCTTATAGGGCGTAATGCAATTTTTTGACGTCGTATGCTACTTCACGCAACAGATCTGTGCAGTCTACTGTGTCCCGAATAATATCAAATTGGAAACAAACATCTAGTGTTTCCCGTCTGTCTTCCAAAGTTAATAGACTATTTTCGTGACATGCTCGGTTAAACGATTCGTGCGACCGACGACACCGGTACGAAATGTGTCTTAAAAAGATATTTTGTATGCGCTCGCGGCGTTCTTTATATATTTGTACAGTATACAACCTTCAGTGAGCCTATATTCTTCAATGTCTTGCAGGTCCGTAAGACGAATCCCAAATTTTTATATGCCTTGTTTGTGACTAATTCAATATGATTAGTAAATAACATTTTGATATCGAGGTGAACTCCCAGGTCACGAACCAAATTGACTCTTTCAATGTGAACACCATTAAAATTACATGTGTATAAGATGGGGTTCGCTTTGCGAGTGAAAGATATGCACTGACATTTTTTGGCATTCACTGTTATCTTATTAGTCATGTAATAATTATACAATCCGTCCAGTTCCGCCTATTTCGTATCGTGTAACAATCATTGATAACATTTATTCTCAAAAAGATCTTTTTATCGTCCGCGCACATCAAATGTTTAGAATGCATTAGACAATTAGGCAAGTCGTAAATGTACGCATTGTAGAAGTGAGGTCCCAAGTGCGAACCTTGGGGGACGCCGGAAGGTATATCTGTGTAATCTGATCTGAATCCATCCACCACGGTCGCCTGGGAACGTTTCATTAGGTAAGATTCTATCCATCTTAGAAGATTCCCGTGTATGCCAAGTTTCCCTAGTTTGTTTAAGAGTATGGAGTGAACTACCCGATCAAACGCCTTTTAATTACATCATTCGATAGCTAAAGGTTCAGGATTCGTTGCATTGCGTGAGGACTGTCGCGCCGCCATTTTGAGGTCGCTTCGAGACGTCACAGATTAACCAACAGTTATTACGTACACGTATTCACGTACAATACACGGCCGTGTCGACGATGCTCCCACAGCCCTTTTTACCCGCCTGCGCGACGCAAAGGAGGGTAATGTGTTTATCAGCCTATATATGTATGTATTCTATACGTATTGTTTTGTATTGTTTTCTATACGTGATAGAGCCATGCTGCAGCTATATTAGTAATATAGTTGTAGCACGGAATGGGTTGGATCGACCGGGGAAGGAAGACAGAATCACAGAATACCAGCGTAAAATGGCAGCTTGACACTGCTGTGTTTCGTATGGTGAGTGTAGAGAACCGCAGACCCTTTTACTGGAAAAGAGGCATTCTATCATAGTTCTCACGGGTGACAACGCATCTGCATTTTGATTCGCAAATGAGGATAGATGTAGATGTCTATGGGCCACAGCAACCACTTACCATCAGGTGGACTGTGTGCTCGTTTGTCATCCTATATTATAAAAAAAATGTATGTTTGTACTTTTTGGCGCTCTAGAGAACAAACGCGTGAGCCCATTTCGATGATTACTGTGTCAAACAATTTGTCTTAACCTTGCGAGTGTCACTGAAGGCTTCACAGTATCAAAATTCAATATGGCGACAACCAGACGCCACATTGTAGGAAGGAAAGAAATGAAAGTGGACGAACTATGTCAAGTCGTGTATAATTGAAAAGGTCTGTGAAAACTATCTTTAGGTATCATTAATCCTTTGCACACCTCATATACGCGAAGCATTTGAGGTAGTGTTTTATTTACTCTCGAATCAAGATCAAGCAATTTTGTGTTTTTAAAATGCTTCTATCCTAACCATATTGCACTTATACGATAATATCAATAGCCGTATATCACGAAAACACTAATTAATTCATCTTATATTTTCTAAAAAATCATTTTGTACTTTGAAAAAAAAAATCTATTTGAAAAACATTTTACGTGGACGTCCGGATGTTTGTATGCTGATTTTGTATGTGGTCATGATAACTCCCGAAAAAATTGACGTATCGAAACCGGCTTTTATTTTATTAATTTCAGAATTACATCAACTGGTTCCCTACTACATATCGATAGCCTAGTACGCGTAGTTTATTAATAAAATGGTTTTAATGTACCTTCTACCTAATTATTTCCATTTGATTTGAATTTATTTTTACCCCTTGATAGACAAAGGACTAATGTACCATACAGCCTATATCGATTTTATACTTTGTATAATTGATTTATTTTGGTAATTTTTTTTTTCATTAAGATTAAATGAAATGCTCAAGAGGCGTGCGCTTTTGGATTTTCCAAATATATTTTCATTTTGTATGACCATTTAGGATCTATAACGATTTAAAGTTTGTTAGCGACCATTCTCACTTTATAATAAAGCTGATGAAGATAAATTTCTTATATAATCATATAATAGGTCTTATTAACGTGAAAAATAATTGTTCACTTTTCAGTGAACTGTTTTGCCAGTCAAGTTTCATTAATTAAGGTTTCAACCATTAAGCCTTAAGCAATTTTATCATGTTATATGTACTGTCAAATAAATAAACTCATTTCACGTTTAAAATAGGCAAGTCCACTTACCAACGCTCCAAAGGTCGACTCTAGCGTCATATCGTCCCCGCAGCATCTCCGGCGCCATGTATAAAGGGGAGCCGCGCAATGATCTGACGGCTTCTTCTGACATGTGCTGCGCGAAACTGTATGTAAGCAATACTATTACAAGGCAACAATAGCTTCTGAGGTTGTTTAAGAGCAAAAATCATTATTTAAAATGTAATATTTTTGTTTTATTATGTGATTCTAGATGGCGCTAGTGATCTCTGACACACGATATCAATAAACCATCGTAATGCAATAAGCGAAAAATAAAGTGTTGCTTTGTATTAAGGGCGGCTACTCACTTGCCTGCTGCAGGGGCAATCTAGGGTGTAAGAGTGGGGATGACCCTTAATTGTAATGTGTGTATGCAAGCAGGGGGCAATATCCTAAGTCAGCCCTGCGGCGGAGCGGCAGGGGCGCAAGACCATCCTTGCTCCCTAGATCGTAGCTGCCGCTGCCACCTGTGTAGCGCAATTGGGGCAATTTCAATTAGTTCGTTAGTGACTTGCGCGGAGCACACGTTCGAGTACAAGTCACAATGTATACCAATAAAGAATGTGAAATTTGGACACTATGTATTATCATTATTTCTAACTAGCTGTTCCCCGCGACTTCGCTCGCGTGTTAGGGTTTTTATCTTTTTGTGCGGAACCCTAATTCTTTTTCTAAAAAACAGTAGCCCAAGTTACTCCTTATTATATCAGCTATCTGCCAGTGAAAGTTCCGTCAAAAACGGTCCAGCCTTTTCGGAGATTATCCGGAACAAAAAGACAGACAAACAGACAAAAATTTTAAAAATTGTATTTTAGTTATAAGTACCGTATTTACTTTCATATGCATTTAGTAAAAGACTGTAATTTTGACATTACAAACAGACACTTCAATTTCATTTATTTGTATAGATTAAACAATATAATTGTTCCAAATTAAAAACGATATTTCCACAATTATTTCTTGTGTGGCAGCAACGCTCCGGGTACCAGCTAGTTCTATATAAAAAAGAACCATGGCTATATATACCGATTCATTAGTATTCCGCTAAAACTGGCGTCATTCTCAACGCTTCTGTCCTGAGAGACGTACACTCTCATACTGAACGGTAAGCATGTGTGTAGACAGTTCTGATATTGCCCCGATCGCTGTTCACCCTAGATTGCCCCTGCGGCAGGCAAGTGAGTAGCCAACTTAAGGCGTTTTATTTACCCGTCACGTCATCCCTAGCTTGACTAGTATTACAGAAGTGTAAAAAATGTTTGGTCCTAAAAGTCCCGCTGGGTTTTTTGCTGGTTGTTCTTAGGACATAAGTATTTCCCGAACCAGAAGTTTTTTTTTTGAAAAACGTTAACCCTACACTAGGATTTTCTTCTGCATAGTGAAGGCAGTTTACATACATAAATTTTACATAGACAAACATTACATAGCAATTATTTGGAGGCCATACAAATACTTGTTCTGTACGGGATTCGAACCCACGGCCCCCCAGCGCAACAACTCATTGCTAAGCCACTGCGCCACGGAGCCGTCAACAGCGAAGTAGATCTTAAATGACTTTTAATAAGTATTCTTGTAAACTATATTGATTAACAATTATTCTATTCTGTTCTATTCTATGCTCTTCTAATCTATAGGCAGTAGGATGCCTTCTCCGCTTAGAAGTCCATTTTGATAGATGCATACTTTCATACTTGCACTGCTGTGATCCGGTATGAAGAGTATAGAATAGATATCCAGTTTAATTACAGGCTGTACATTACACCTCGCTATTCAGAGGTGACTTCTTTGTTTGAAGTTGGCTGCACGTGTCCATGGACTGCAGCAGCCTTACCATCAGGAGAATTGTAAGTTCCTTTGTCACAAAGGTAAGGTATAAAAAAGGTAGGGAATGTTAAAGTTAGGTAAACAGTCTATATACGTTTCCACAGCACCAACAGGATCTCATTTCTGAGAGAGTTATGTAGCCAATGTTATTAAGACGGCAACTAAATAACTTCTGGGATGTAAGGAGAAACGTCAAGTTCTAGGTGGGACTCCCGTCTCTGCTTACGAGTCTGTTCAGACAGGTACCACCATCTATTTGTGCCACTAAACAGCAGAGATTTCACTGCTGTAATCCAGTTATAGAGAGTCAGCATAATTACAGGCTATAAAGCATTCAAGTGTTACGGGTCATTAGTGACAACGCATCTGTAACCACTTTTGTTTGAAATAAATATATACAACAATATATAATATACAAGCGATAGTAGCCTAATAGTAAGATGCGGACAGCGAACTGAGAGTCGCGGAATCGAATCCGCTATCCGACTATAGTCTGTTTGCTAAGATAGTGTCAGTACACCCAGAGGCGCACTTATTATTTTGCTATTACTTTATTATTTTTTACTGTGTTTGTTAAATAAATGTTTTTTCTATTCTAAGAATAAAATAGAATACTATTATTATTCTTATAGTAATATAATAAAATACGAACATAAATAATAAACACAATTTAGACGCTTAGTTTAAAATGCCAGATTCTCCTGCGGGTGTACGCTATATACGGGTGATCTTTGATGTCGCGGTGGCGCCTTTGTCAAGATGCGGCACGTGTGAAGGCGGCGCGGACACAAAGGCGACCGTATCTAAGCGAACAGACTATACTTTGGTGAACCACTCTTAACACACGCATTTTTAAGTTTACTTATTTGATGTTAATAGCGTTACTAGAATTCTATTTATAAAAAAAATACATTATGAAAAATCCGGGGTGAATTCGGAATAACAACTCACAGCGCCATCTACCGGAATGGACAGAACATCAGCAGAGCCAGCTAGTTATTTAATAAAACTATTTTTTGGTGGTGAAACAGCGGTGGATCGCGCGGGCGGGTAGCTGACACGGTAAATATGCCACGCAGTTATACTTTCATTTAGGTACGACAGTTAATGTACGAAATAAAGTTGTATTTGAGATAAACTTGAAATCACGTTGACAAAGTGCGCACATAAATCATGACAGAGTTTTCTTAGTCACATTAAACAAAATCAGTGTTAGATTGTCGAGAACAACGTATCGCGGTTTACAAAACAATGAACTAGTCTTCTCGGGCGTTCGCAGTAGACTGAAGGAGCTACGGAGAATTGACCGTAACTTAGTGCGCCGTAGTGCTCGTGTAGTAGTTTATAGAGAAGTCTTTGGCTGCAGCCACTCATTTAAAAATACCGTAGACTGTCTCGTTGGTCTAGTGGTCGAAAGTGACACTGCTGATCATGTGATACCGAGTTTGAATCCCGAATCAGACCAAAATTTGTTATTGAGATTTTCTATCAAGAAATTCTCAATAGAAGCTCTGAGTCAGGAAGTTGGCGGTGTCTTACCACCGTGCCTCGGAAAGCACGTACAGTTTCCGCGTGATCTTTCTCCGGTCGTGTCGGAGTGACGTCACCTATCGGACTGTGGGAGTGGGGGAATAGAGAGTGCACCATATAACATATCACATGGTAATGGTTGTGTAATAATAAAATCAAGATAAACAGCTTCCTCACCCAAAGTCCGCGACTTTAAGGATGTATTTCCCATCGGAACCTTTGTGTAGGAGCAGATTGTGAGGCTTCAAATCCATGTGGACCACACCTGGACAGAAAAGGGAGTTCGGATCAAAGATTAATAAATAAAAGTTTAGGGTTCACTACGTTAATTATTACATCAGTAGGTTGAACACATCAGTCCGTGACCGTTGGTGCTGTGAAGTGCTCGAAACGTGGGAAATTTAAAAAGTTAAATTAAAAACGCGATAAAGTATGTATCATTAAATGTATAGTACTCGCGTAAATATAAGAAATCAACAAGGAGATATTAGACAAGTGTGAGGGAGACAACAAGCGTAATATCAACACGTAGCTTTTTGAACCTCCCTTTTTCATCTCTAACTAGTGTTTTTTTTGAAACGAAGTTCCTTATCGGACGGTACGGATTTGGCGGATGGGAGCTAGGCGACAAAAAGCGTAAATTTTTTCGTCACTACCCCTTGTGTCATAGTGTAGACGGCCTTGGCGGCGAAATAAGGAAGTGAGATGGAATAATATCCATCTTCCTCGCACTTTTTCTTATCTTGCCATGAAAGAAAATAGACGCTAGTAATTAATTTATTTGTATTTGTTAATCAATAATATAATACCTACGTTTATCAATAATAATATACTACGCAAGGAACTTCGTTCCAACCGTTCCACGACACTCGCGCATTTTTTTTAATAGAACAAGGATGACAAATGAGCACACAGTCCACTTTAATGTAAATGGAAAATGGATGCTGCGGCCCAAAGATAACTACATCTATTCCAGATTAAGAATCAAAATGCAGACGCGTTGTCACCTAAGAACTAAGATGGAATGCCTCGTTTCCAGTAAAAAAAAGTCTCCGGTTAATTACATTCACCATATGACACACACAAGCATTAAGCGGCTAATTTTACGTGGTAGAGCCATGCTGCAGCTAAATTGTGTCTGCAGCACGAATGGGTCATCCAGACAGGGGTGGAACAGAATACCAGCATGAAATAGGAATAGAAACGGAAACACTTTTCACTGGAAACGGGGCATTACGTGGTAGTGCTGCAGCTATATTAGTAGTACACTTTTAGCACGAATGGGTCGGCTCGACAGGGAAAGGACTATGCTCTCACAGAAAACAAACGTAAATTAGCAGCTTAACGTTGCTGTGTTCCGTATGGTGAGTGTAGAGAACCGGAGACCCTTTTTACTGGCAAAGAGGCATTCCATCTTAGTCCTCACGGGTGACAACGCATCTTGAGTCTTTATTGAGGATAGATGTAGATGTCTATGGGTCACAGTAACCACTTACCATCAGGTGGACTGTGTGCTCGTTTGTCACCCTATCCTATAAAAAAAAATTCTATCCCAATCCTCAGGGGTGACAACGCATCTGCATTTTGATTCTCTTTTTTTTTTTGCTAAATAAGTACTAGTAATGCTATTAAACATTACTAATATTCCCTTTAACCACTTCTGGTAAGTTTAAAATGCTTGTGTTAGAAGTGGTTCAAGACAGTAGTCGAATGGCGGATTCGAACCCACGACCTTTCGAGTTCGCGGTCCGCGCCCTGCCATTAGGCTACTGATGTTTAACGACGATTCTAAATCGAATATGGATGTAGATGTCTATGGGTGGGTGGATATATATCCACTTAACATCAAGTGGACTGTTTGTTCGTTTGTCACACTTATTCTATAAAAAAAAGCTATTTCACGCTGTTATTCTATATGAGCGAGGTTCTTCTTCTTCTTCATGATAATAACTTAAAATTATAAAAATCTGCGGTTGCCAACCCGCCTGCCAAGCGTGGCAAATATGTCAAAACCCCCTCCTCCCCCCTATGAGACAATCTATGGGGGAAGCCTATGTTCAGCAGTGGACTTTTATAGGCTGTAATGGATGGATGTATAGAAGATAATCTACCAGGAGCACATGACCCAACAGTAGCGTTACAACTACAGCAAATATCCCCCCTATGAGAATCTATTGGGGAGGCCTACGTTTAGCAGTGGACTTTTATATGCTAAATGGATGGATGGATAGTTCCAACTAGCGACATCTGGTGAGCGAAAGATTAACCCTCATTGGGAGTGCTCAACACTACCAGTACGAAACTGCCACCCAAGAATATCCTTAAGAGAAACATTACAATTACACAGTGTTAACCAACCTCTTTCTCTGAGGAACTTCAGGGCTGACGCCAACTGTTGCAGGAAATATAACACCTGGAACAAATTGCATATTATTAGCAATAGCTGGACACAATGTTGTTTTTATAAAACAATAAATGTAATAACAAACAAAAGCAAACTAAATAATTATAACTATTAACAAAAAGTAAAAACCAACTTAAAATTGAAAAAAAAAAAGAAGTTACTTATTTGCCCTTAAGGGTGGTATTTTTCTCCTATGAGACCTTGAAGTACACCTATTTAATTAAATAATCATCAAAATTGGTTCACAATCTGCGGAGATATCGCGTAACATGCATACAAAAAACATAGTTCGGCAGTAGCATAACTAACCAGCAACCGATTCCTAAATCACGCTATAGAAGTTTCTAAACGAATCAGCTTATATAGAATAGAATAAAATAGAAGAATCATATTTATTCAATATAGATTATATACAGCGGAGTTTCTGAAAGCGGCTGGAAGTCCTTCAGAAGCTCTTTAATACTGACCTCCATGGTGGGACTACTTCGGAGGCATGGAGCAGAAGTGTGCACTCTTGAAGAACTACAGAACGATTTTCCTTCTGGGCCACGTCCACGTGCTGTTTTCGAGAGTCATTACGAATCGTCTCGCACGCAGACTCGACGACTTCCAGCCTCCCGAACAAGCCGGTTTCCGAAAGGGCTTTAGCACCATAGACCACATACATACCCTTCGGCAAATTGTACAGAAGACCGAGGAGTACAATTTGCTAGTATGTCTTGCGTATATGGAATATGGGAAAGCCTTTGATTCCGTCGAAATTTGGACGGTGCTGCAGTCCCTTTAGCCAAGTTGACTGTCGGTATATCGAAGTGCTGAAGTGTTTGTACAGTAGAGCTACGATGGCTATCCGAGTACAGAACCAGAGTACGACACCTATCCAACTGTAGAGATGTGTTAGACAGGGTGACGTAATATCCCCGAAACTCTTCACCGCTGCATCGGAAGACGTTTTCAAGCTAGTGGACTGGAAAGGATACGGTATTAACATCAATGGCGAGTACATCACTCACCTTGGATTTGCCGACGATATAGTCCTTATGGCAGAATCGCTGGAGGACCTCAGCCTCCAGCGATTCCAGCGAAACCTCAACAGTGCCTCCCAACGCGTAGGTCGTATTATGAACGTATAATGTCCATGTCACACCTATGCCGTGTCGGTAGTTGTTGGGAACACTAAGCTTTAAGTTTTTAACGAGTATGTTTACCTGGGACAAATAGTCCGACTAGGTAAGTCCAACTTCGACCGAGAGGTCAATCGACGGATTCAATTCGGCTGGACAGCGTACAGCTCAGCGGCGAAAATTACGACACATCTACTCGTCAGGTATACCTTAAAATTTGAAAACTAGGCTGTACAACCAGTGCGTGTTGCCAGTGATGACCTATGAAACTGAGACGTGGTCCTTCACTACTGGCCGTATAAGGAAGCTCAAGGTCGTGCAGCGAGCTATGGAGAGGACTATACTCGGGGTTTCTCTGCGTGATATAAACTTAGAAATGAGGTCATCCGCAGTAGAACCAGAGTAATCGACATAGCCCAACGGATTAGTAAGCTGAAGTGGCAATGGGCCGGCCAAATAGCTCAAAGAACCGACAACCGATGGAAAAAAAGGTTCTCGAGTGGCAGCCTCGTACCGTCAGGTGAAGTGTAGTTCTGAATTTTTAGAAGATAAAAATATAATATAATACAGATATGTAAATATAAATATGTTAGGTAATAATGAAATGCCGTCCTACTAAATAAATTACAATAAAAAATTCTAATAAAATTTAAAATTATTCAAATAATTTAATAAAAATACAACTGTCCTAATTTTACTAATACGTTAAATGTCAAAATGAATTCATTAATAAATAATAACAATTATAATAACCGTATTTCTAATTCAATCTGTGTACCAAATAAATGTTCCTCCTTCATAATATTTTTGTGCCCATCAGGGCCCATAGAGATACCATAAAACTATGTAAAAGTTTTTGTAACCTATGGAATGCAATAAAGTTATTGAGTATTGAGTATTGCGGGCGGCCCCCCACTAGATGGAGTGACGACCTAGTAAGACATGCAAGAAGTCGACGGGGAGGCCTATGGAGGGCTGTAATGATGAATGAATGAAAGGTAATCCACTAGCCCGTGAGTGTCATCTGAAACGGTAGGGGGAAACCGAGTCAGGTGCCGAGAAAAATTCTGAAAAATACCTCCATAAAAATACTTTTTAGTTGTAAAAAATTGTAATAATTATAACTTTTAAGAAAAACAAATGAAAACCGACTTCAAATTGCTAAAAAAAAGTTATTTAGCTGCTACCCTTATGGTCCAACTTTTTCTCCAAAGTTATATGGGACCAACCTTGAAGTATAACTTATTTAATAAAAAAACAATCCTCGATATTGGTTCACAATCTGCGAACATACATATAAAAACATACACTCCACTCGAATCTAGAACCTCTTCCTTTTTAAGGTCGGTTAAAAATCAAAACCACCAACAATCCGAAAGTGAACTGCAATAGTGAGTTCAAAATTCAAATTTCAATCATTCGATCTGATTTAAAAACTGTTTTCTCATTGTATAGAGTGAAACAGAGATAGAAATAATGTGCGAGTGAGACTGCATAAGTTTGGCCCACATTACCGATCGTATGCTTTACTAGCACTCGATATGAAATTCTCATTTTTGAGTCTTCTTTACCAGTAAATAATATAAAAAAAACAACAAATTTATAAAAGTTAAGTTAGCACTCGCTGTAAGTTTCACAGTACCCAAGCAACCCGGGTTCGATTCCCACCGGCACCAATGAAATTGTTAATTGCAATTTTAATTGGTGATTTACCACGTGCTCGGCGGCGAAGGAAAACATCGTGAGGAAACCTGCATGTCTGAGAAATAACAAAAAAAATATATCTCGAAGACATGTGAAGTTCGCCAACACGCATTGGGGCAGCGCGGCGGACCTTTCCTTGCCCTAAAACCCTCCCAGAAATGAAAGGAGGCTTGTGCCCAGCAGTGAGACGTATATAGGCTGCAACTTTACTTTACTTTAATAAAATTGCAGTGTCTGTCCGTAAATCGAAATAGCTGCCTTTTATTGAGCCGATTTAATTTGCAAACCATCAAGATATGAACAACCATTTTAAAAATGTTTGTCTGCCTATCTGTTTGCCCGGACTTAATAAACGAAATTTGACAAACAGATAAAGAGCACTGTCAGAAGAATAATTTAAAATTAAGAATTTTGTACAACCGACTCCAATATAAATTATTAAGATTAACTCAAAAACAATTTTGAGTACTGAATTGAGTACTGTCTCCTTTTTGAAGTTGGTAGAAAAGTAATCCTACTCAGGCGAAACCAGGGCAGGATATTAAATAAAAATCTAGAAATAATAACCTGTTTTTCAGGAACTCTTCCGTATCTGTGAATATACTTCGAGAGATCTCCACCGCAGCAATACTCCATTATTATGTATATATTTCTGCAAACAATATATATATATATATATATATACTTATAAAATAAATGTATTGTATGGAAATACTATTACTGTACTAAAAACTATTAAATATTTATGTTTATATAGTTTGTATTGACATTATATAACATATACATGTATATTAATACAAACCATGCTATTGACTGGCAGAGAATGTCGTGAAACATAGTTAAATTTCTGACTCCGGGCTGCTTAGGAGAATTCCTTGACACAAGGACACAATAACTGATTGCGGTTCGATCCTGGATTCGAACCCAGAACCATATTGATCAATGGACGCGGTTTCGGGCACTCGACTAACGAGGCAATCGTAATTTAATTTTAATATTAGACCATAAATAATATGCATTGAGACAATTTTTAAATTAATTTACCACGGGTTTAAAAAATGCCTCTGGCATGCGAAGAAACAGAGAAAAACCCAGTGGAACTTCAAATTTATTTTATTTGTTTGCGATATATGGGTCACAAATAAATATAAATTTAACAAAAATATAGTCATATTCTGCCTTCCGGTGTGCAAATTAATTAAATACAAAATATTTTCAGGATATTTTTTTATAGTTAAAATGGAAATTCCAATAATTACATGAGCATAATAATATAATCTAATTTTGTATACTAGCTGTTCCCTGCGACTTCGCCCGCGTGTAATTTATTACGATTTGATTTCATGGGTTTGAATTATTTTGCACGGAACACTAATACTTTTTCTAAACTAAAAGTACCACCAACCAACCAACTTACTACCAACACCATTACACTAGGAAAGACACACCACTGACGACAATACGACACGTGTTTCGTCTCTACATGAGGCATCTTCTAGTAAAGTAGACTCTGCGGTGGCTTACCGCTAAGTGTAAGTAAGTCACTTTTCTAGTGTATTGGTGACGGAGATAGTAGTAGTAGTGGTGTTGGGATTAGTGGTGCTGGAATTAGTGGTGACGGTGATAGTGCACGCAATTGAGGGAGGGCGGGAGGTGCTCTTCATACTAGGTAAGACACATCATTTTATTTTATTGAGCGAATGTAGGCAAAATTTTTTTTACCAACCCATCTTTTTAATACCTTATGAAATATAAAATTTTCTGTACAAGCATATTATAGTAATGACTCGGTAAGTGGTAATGAAACTTTCGATGGTAATTCACACTGTCTTAGTGTAGCAAAAGTCTCTTTTGCCTGTGAATTGTCTTACCTAGTTTAAATACTTCCTTCCATCCCTCCATTGTGTGCGATATCACCGTCATCACTTATCCCAACATCACTACCCCCAACTTCACTATACTAGAAAAGACACACCACTGTCGATAACATGGCCCAGACTCTGCCATGGTTGACCTCTAAGTGACCTTTTAGCGGTCAACCATCACAGGGTATATATCGCCCGGCCAACCATCACAGTTTACATATATATCTCCTGGTGATGCCTTGTCAAAATGCAAAACACGTGTCTTATAGACGGTGGTATGATTTTCTTAGTGTAGATTCAATTAATTATTAAGTTGTTGTTGAATTTGGTGCAAAGCGTCAGTAGTCTAATGGCAGAGCGCAGACCGCGAACTTGAAAGGTCGTGGGTTCGAATCCGCCATTCGACTACTGTCGTGAACCACTTCTAACACAAGCATTTTAAATTTTAAGCTTACCGGAAGTGGTTAAACGGAATATTAGTAATGTTTAATAGCATTACTAGTATTTTATAAAAAAAAAGTCTTGCTTACCTGTCATCCCATGTGAACTGTTTCATGTGCACAATATGGGGATGTGTGAGGGTCTTCAGTAGACGTATTTCTGTGATGAGGTTGTCTACAGCGGCACCTGAGTGTTTCACGCGAGACTTGTCCACACATTTTATAGCAACCGTCGACCTTGCCCCCACCTGGAGGATTGAGGATGAAATGGGCTTTTAATAATAATAATAATCTTTATTTGCGTAAAACATGGTATAGATGTTGTTCACAGGTAAAAATCGAGCGCTCATGTTTTGCTTATTTTACATAGCATGCAAATATATTTAAACAATGTCAAATTTTCTTTAACTATTTGAAATACATTAGCCACCTGATTTAGTTAACAAAGAGAAATAATATTATAATAATTAATTACATGTCAGTTTCAATACCTAGTAATAGTCGCATAGCTTAATCAAAGATATATTGTAACAATACTATATTTTATTATTTTATATTTATTACAATAATTAAATGAATTTTTTTTATTAAATATTATCCAGAAAATAATCTAATTTTTTTTCCATGAATTGTTTTACACTATAGAAATTATTTTCATTCAGCCATTTGTACAATTTCTTTTTGAACAATGTAATATTTAGGGTTTTAAGTTCGTCAGGGAGTTTGTTATATATTCGGACACACACGGTAAGGCAACTTTTGCCAGATTTTTGTGATTTAGGTTTAGGTTTATGTTGTTCTTGTGTGGATTCTTGGTACATAATACAGGGCTTCATGCTTAAGCTAATGTGCAGTAGATATGAATAGTTTACAAACAACATATGCAAAAACTACTTAACTTGCTATAAATCTATCTATATCTCTGGTTTACAAACATTTAGAATGTATCAATGTATCCAAATGTATCACCAAATTATTCAGTCGGTACTTGGTGTTGCTTGCAAAATTGCATAATCACAGTCAGATCTAATTTCACTCCTTTTGTCGTGTAATAATATTTATCCATTTTATTTAGTTCAATGCCAAAGGCATTCTATCAACTACATAATATTTTCATGACCGATTAATTGGTAACTCTGCATTCAATAAATTTAATATACTACCGTAAATAACTTTCATGTGAGCATTAATTTCAGTAATAAACGTAAATAAAATTAATGTAGGTAAATATGATCAGTGTAACTATATAATAATATATTTAAATATATATGATGTAATATATGATGATGAATGATGAATATATGATGTGAGTGTAGAGTGTGAAGAACTTTTTATTGGAAACGAGGCATTCCATCTTAGTCCTCAGGGGTGACAATCTAAATTTTAATTCTTAATCAACGATAAATGAAGATATCTATGGGTCACAGCATCCACTTGCCATCAGGTGGGATGTGTGCTCATTTGTCCCCTTATTTTATAAAAAAAAACATTCAGTTATTTCTAACAGCTAATGACGAAAATTACAACCAACCAAAAATGCACTGCTCAACAAAGGCCTACCATATAGATTTCTTCATAAGGGGGGATATTTGCCATAGTAGCTTATCAAGCAGGTTTGCAACCACAGTTTCTTTTTGTTCAGCTATTATCAGGGAGATGCTGATGCTCATCTCCTGGTTCAGGTTCTCTCTGTTGCCTTTTACAATCCCATGGATTGTAATGCCTTTTAGTATTACAACCCATGGGATGATATGGGGTAGCAGTTATACTACCCAAACTATTAGTGAAATATGGATACAAAATATAGATACAATGGCAGCTGTTGTTTTGACAGTAACACAATGACAAATTAAAGTTTATCAAGAACTGGTTCCATATCTCTCATTGGAGAGGATTAATTAAAATCCTTGTTCCGCTTACAGAAATTCTGACGGCAAGGAGATGTGTTAGAGTGATGTGGTTAGAGCATGACTCAATCATAAGACTGATAAGAGATATTGAAAGAAAATTGTTCATACTTCACCACACTCTCACAGAATACCAGCGTAATAATGCTGTGTTTTGTATGGTGAGTGTAGAGGAATCAGAGACTTTTACTGGTAACTCCTAACAAGGCATTCTATCTTAGTCCCCCAGGGATGACAACTCATCTCCGATTTGGTTCTTCATCGAGGAGAGGAGTAGATGTCTACAGGCCACAATATCAACATACTATCAGGTGGACTGTGTGCTCGCTAGTAATCCTTTTAACATAAAACATATGTATACCTAAAAATCAAATACATAAAATAATATTCATAAAGACAAATTTGTGGGACACAAATTGTAATCTGATATACCTCACATATTTTTAATATACTAATATGAGATGTGTTATTTGACAAAGGAACAAGGTACAAAAATACATATTAGGCAAAATAACGTATTACTTTTAATTATATAGGTTTTATTTAATAGGACAATAAAATTGCAGTGCTAGCAGTTTAATTTTATAAAGTAAATAGTTTACGGTATGAGATAAAGATAAAGTACATAGAAACAAAATTATTTACATAGTTTCAAAAGTCACGTACCTTTGTAAAGGCTTTATATACAGTTGAGTAACTTCCAGATCCTAGTTTTTCTGTCACTACATAACCCTCAATCTTTGGGAACGACATTTTCACAAGATAATCCTAAGTTATAGTGAAATATTAGACATCTTTGGATATTTTTTCGAACATATCGTGATAGAAAGCAGTTATACTCTTTGTTTTGACTTTTGACAGAGATTGTTGATATTTGACACATTGACATTGTTGTTGTTGTTTTTATTATTCGCTCGAGAGAGTAGGCAAAGGAACTAAGCCATACAGCCTTGTCTTTTTTATTTTGAATATATAGAATTTTAGAGTGTAAAGGCCGGAACCAAGTCTTATTTTTCTTCTTTCCATCTCTTCAAAATCCATAAAAGCCGTAGTCAAGTCTTATTTTCTTTAATTCTCCATATTTTCAAAAACCCGTAAAGGCTAAAGCCAAGTCTTCTTCATATTATACTCTTTGTAAGTTTCAATCCATGTAGATTTGTCAATCCAATATTTTCAAAAACAGGGATACCATATTTCATATTTCTTTTACAGTATTATGAATAAAATTGCAAAGTGCTAAATATGTCTTAGTATTCCTAAGAACATCTTGCAAGGCACGCGGGACGCTTTCTGAGTTACAGTTAATACATAAAATCGCACCACTTATACATATCAAATTCTACTTGAAACTATTATTTAAACTATAATACAGGAGCAGCAAACCGCCGCCGGTCAAGTTCTCGCCACAATTATTTTTTCACAATTTTTTTTACAATGTCATTGCAACATTGCAAAGTGTTTGTGAGATTTCGACAACTTAACCTAGGAGTCATTCGATGACGATAGTGTCGCAAGACCCCTAAGGAAATAATATAACTTTTGCTAAATATAGCTTTAGCTCATAATCGATGATGCTGTTCGCTCTTAAACATCGTTCCCGCTAATAGTCTACATGCGCAGACATTTAATACACAAATACACTAAAAGCACCACTGTTGCGAATTAAAATTGAATAAATTAAAATTATTAAATTAAAATCCTCTGTTGACCATATTAAATACCTAGGTATAATCTTAGATAAAAACCTAAATTTGAAAAGCCACATTAATCTTCTCACTGGCAGAGTCCGTAAATTAATTTACGTATTTAAAACCCTAAGAAGTATTACTAACCCTACTGTTATACGTAAAGTTTATTTTGCCCTATGCTTATCCATTATTACATACTGTATTTCCTGCTTGGGTGGTGCTGCTAAAACTAACCTAAAGAAGTTGGAGGTGGCACACAGAGCCATTTTGAAAGTGGCTACTTTCCGAACTATCATTTTTCCAACTAATCAGTTGTACAATGTCTGGAACGTCCTTAATGTTCGGCAACATTTTATTCTGCAAACAGTTCTAATGCAGCACCGCAAAACCCCTTACAGGGAAATAAGTAAACGTCGAAAAGACACAATTTGTTCTCTTCCACAAGTTCGCTTATCATTCACTAAAATATTTTTTATTTCCTGGGTCCGTCTCTTTACAATAAAATAAGCGAAAAATGTCCTATATATGGGTTATCATTATATAACTGCAAGAAGACTGTCCGCTCATACCTTCAAAACACATCTTATGACGAAACAGAAAAATACCTAAACTGACTGATTATAAAGTAACTAACCTGATTTATCTACTCTCTCACACAAACACACACATCAACACGCAATCACACACGCACACACACACACACAAACACATACACACATATTCATTTCTCAACTTTATAATCATAATTTGAATAAATAGAAATTGATATAATTGTAGCACTTTTAACTGTATGCATGTAATTATTATATACATAATGTTATGGAGATTCAGACTTTTACTCCTTAATACAGGTTATTTTGTAACCTAGCTAGGAGTTCTGCACTCCTACATCCACTAGATTTAAGGACATATTTTATAGATAGTACAAACAATGTAATGTCAAACCAATGTACTACAATCACTTTAATATAAATAAAGTTATTATTATTATTATTAAAATCTATCAACATTTAAGCGATCATAGATAAGACCAGCCTTATGATCTCGGTGAAAACAGCACATGAGACATGTAAAGGTATATTGAATTTTAATTTCTTTAATTTTAAAACACCTTAATCTTTACTTCCCACCAAATTAATATGTACCTACTTTACACTTGGCATAATAATTGCTTATAATGCCATCTATAGGATGTCACCAGATCTTTATGACATTAACGACAGCCGTGGGACAAAATGGTTTGAAGATTATTTTTTATTTTTTACGGGTTATAAATAAGCGCTCAGTTCCACTGATGGTAAGAAGATGCTGTTGCTCATAGACTTCCACGATTAAGAATCAAAATGCAGATACGTTGTCATTCCTGAAGGATATTTTATGCGAAATATTAAAGTTTTTTTTGAAAAAAAAAACAAACTAAAAATTGATAAATCAAATGGTCTTTGATTATCTTAAACTTAAATAAAGCCACATCAATAAGCTATCCAGACGAAGCCGGGGCGGGTCGCTAGTTAACATCATGGTAGAGATCATCTTATTCCCAGGGGTTATTATTAATCATGTCTAATAACCCTTATTAAGCAATCTATGGGGAGGCCTATGGCCCCTAACCTGTAGTGAATAAAAACACACACAGAATAATGAAAGACAGCAGCTTAACGCTGCTGTGTTTCATATGGTCAGTGTAGAGAACCGGAGACCCTTTTTGCTGGAAACGAGGCATTCCATCTTATTCCTCACGGGTGACAACGCATCTGCATTTTGATTCGTAATCGAGGAAAGATGTAGATGTCTATGAGCAACAGCAACCACTTACCATCAGGTGGACTGTGTGCTCGTTTGTCACTCTTATTCTATAAAATAAAAACACTTCCTATAAACCTGTAGCGTCACTGTCAACCCATCACAATAACATAACCGAAGCCTTCATCACGCTAACGAAGTTTCCGAAATACTGCTTTGACAGCTATTGGCTGCCCAGAGATCATTTCTTTTCATATAAGATATATAGATACATCGTGATTCCCCTTTTCATATACGATAGAAGTAGACTGCCCCGTTGGTCTACTAGTCATAAGTGCACTGTTGATCATGTGGTCCGGATTTCAATCCCAGGTCGGGCCAAAATCCGGCCGAAAAACAATACGGAGACAGCAAGTAGGCGAAGTTTTACACATGGTGGAGTTGGGTGTGTTCCTCTTATGTTGTAATATCCTCCAGATAGAATTTTGGCCTCGGCGGTCTGTATAGTGCACGAGTGTGTGCGCAAGCACAGGTGCATTCTCTATTTCCTCACTCTCATAGTTTGATGGCACGGCAATCTGACACAATAGGACAAACGGCTTTACGTACTTCCCGAGGCATGGGGTGAAACACCGCCAACTTCCTGATCCGGGTAACAGCGGGCGACTGGTTTCTAGACAGAAAAAGTTAATAAATGATTTTTTTTGGCCCGAACCGGAATAGAACCCGAGACCTCATGATCAACAATCGCTTTTACGACTAGACCAATGAGACAGTCAACTGATACTGTTACTCTTATATAGTAACCATTGTAGGTATCTTCCATTACATGGCGCGAGGGACATATCATGCTGTTGTGACGCCTCATAATTATTATTAATAAATAATAATTAAATTCATTATACAGACATTTAAAAATGTCTTAGAAATTATAATTTAAACAATAAAATGCAAATAATAAGCATAAAGTTCAAAAATATCCATTTGGAATATTGAATATTATAATATTAGTAAACGCATACAATGTCTCTAAAAATCTCTAAATTTATTAAAAACCTGCTTAAAATGTTCAAAATGTATCAAATCATATAAATACAAGGCGATTATATTGCAATAACAAAGATAAATAACATTTGTAATATAATAGAAAAAATGGATTAAAATTTTCTAAGTTGATGAAGGTGTTCGTGTAAATTGGAAAATTTCTAAGTTAATGAACGTGTTCTTGTAATGTTCCCTTATATTGGGGCGTTGTGGGAGACACATACCCAAGGTTGTACATATATATGGGGTGGTCGGCTGACCGACTGCTAGTACTAAGGTTGCACAATGACTAGTCCTATATTAGGGACTTAACATAGTAAGGTCTGACGAACCAAAGCATTAATATAGAAGGTCTCTATGATGCATAAGCATTATGATAGCAGAGTTATGACTTGAAGTCCCATATGAATAAGACATACAGTAGTATGGTCTATGAAATAAAGCAAATATGTGGAAGGTCTCAAATATGTAAAAGCATTATATTGAAAGAAATGGGACTTGAAAAGGATTATTATAGTGGCGTGTAGGTTGCTTCGCAGCCTCTGAGACCGAGGTAAACTTGGACTCACTAACCGATGTGTCCTAGACATATCATCTTAGTGCCGGTGGTAAGCGGGTTTGTTGTAGCAATACGACTTGCCCGTGGACATCGCACACCCCTACCGGTTGTGGGCGACGTCTTAGCGCATAGCGTTATGATACGTCGGCTATCTTTTGGATTAGGGTGAGTGTGTTTGGTAGTACTTTTAAGTGCAGCATGCATACTCAACTTCATGTCTTAGTGCAATAGCGCTATGATACGTGGAGTATTGGCTACTGACGTCTTAGTACCGTGCTACTATGATACGTTGGTGGTATTTTTAGTTAACAACATTATCAAATTTTGTTACCAAAGTCGATAGGGATCATGTGGGTGTGTTGTGAGGGGGCGCCATCCGTATGATAGCTGCATTGATGCTTACTGCTACTTGCAGTATTGTGTCTTGTGATGGATCTGCGGGTGTGCTGCACCTGATTCGATGCATCTTGTGGTTCTGGTCGATGGAGGTATGCGGGTGGTGATGTCTGCTGGGACTGTATGGGGGACCTTGGGATGGTGTAAGCCCGACGATAGTCGTATTGATGCTTGTTGCATTCTGTAGCATTGCGTCTCTACGATGGTTGTTTGGCGGGTCGCTATTCTCAATGGCGCTCTCTGCGTCTTGGTTTGACTCACAACCTAAGTAGCTTTGCCCAAGTCGGGTCCCTTCATTGCGGGGCTGCAGACTGTCTGCCCTC